CTTCCCCTTTCTTCTCGTGAGGGCAGTACTCCCTCAAACGAGACTTGCCATCCACAAATACGGTGGCATAGAGAGAACCATTATAGCCTTGGACAGAGTGCTTGGCTGTATCTATATGGACAAGGTCTAAAGCATGATCTGGATGTTTCTGTTCAACTCGAGAGACTAGCGACGTAGATTGGACTCCAGACATTCCAGACAAGTGAATTCTTTTGCCCGCTCTTGTACATTTGGCGGCAATTCAATCCCTTTGGTGATACTGGCTGTCTTGATCAGGTCACCAATAGACCGGTGGCCAAGTCTTGTATGCCAGTGGTGGAGTAGTCTCAGCGCCACAGATTTGGCTTGAGAGGTCAGTTCCTGGGAAGAATCCTCGGATACCATATTGGTGAACACGTCCGGGGCTTGATTGATCCCGTATACGTCCTTCTGGACACTAAGGATCTCTGTCTGAACGTACATTCCCTGGTGGAATGATGCCACCCATGTCCCATAGGGGTCAAACAGATCGCGGATCATCAAATACCATCCTTGGCGATACATCTGGTCTCCCGAGAGAATATTGATTGGAAAGGAACGCACAAATAGTACTCCAGAGATTGTCTGAGTGACGGTATCACCGTTGGAGGTAATGAATGGTATCTCCACGTCGCCAATACCTTGAGGAGTAACAGGGCTTCCTCCAGTGTTAAAGGGGACCAGGTCAGGGTCCATTCGAAGGCGAGTAAACCACTTCTTGCTATTGCAAATAGGAACGGTAGAGCCTGTGTCAAACAGCCATGAGTCTGTGCTTGTCGTGGCATGAACGATGTCGATCAGATTGGTACTCGCTCCCTGGTTGGCGCTATGTGGTCCTTGAGTGAGGACAGATTGACTGGAGATGGCTTTATCGGCATAATTGCACCATTGAGCGGCGTCGGGAGCGCCAGTGCGTCCACTCTGGTGAGTGGGAGCGCTGCTTGAAGGCCTTCCATCTTTCCTAGCCTTCTCAGAGGCCTGGATGATCTGGCTGAGGATGCGTTTGTTGCATCCAAGGTGGCCCTTCTTCTTGTCAAGCTCTCCGCACTCATAGCACCAGATAGGATCCGTGGTGTTGCTGTTGGAAGAGCCCTGGTTGACTCCAGGGGTTCTGGGGCCATCAAGAGATGGGCGATTACTGCCTTTCCCCTTGTTCTTTCACTTGCTCTTGCCTTTACTAGGCGTAGCAGGCTTGCCAAAGTTAGTGGCAAAGGTCTCATCTTGAGCCTTGCGAATCTGTATCTCCTCCTGGAGCCGGTACAAGAGATTCTCGGTCGTAGGGAAGATTCCACGGTTATAATCTTTTGAGATTTCGCGGTGAAGGGTTGGAAAAGCCGTCCGAATAGCAGCCAGAAAATTGGCAATGCGAATATTCAGAGGATATGTGATATTTTGCCGCAGGACCTTGTCCATTAGTCTGCGGTAGTTGCCCACGAACTTGTCTCCATGGTCAGGGAATCGAATGGCAGCCAGTTCATCTACAACGGATGAAACTGCGTCAATTCTCGTGCCTGAATATGCCTGTCGCAAGGCTATCCAGATCTGACCAGGGTCAAATAAACCCGTGATACGAGAATCAGGGTCAGACTTGATGTTCTAGGTGATAGCGAGGTATAATTTTGACCTCTTGATGCTCAGACTAGCATCCAATTCAGGGGGCTTGGAAGAGGCTCCCGCGGAAGGTGTGGCTGGGGCGTCGACAGCTCCAGTTGTGGCCTTATATGGTTCCTTCTCGTCCGCCTTGATGGCTTCAAGGATAAGAGACCAGAGCCCGAGAGTAGTGAGCAAATGCTCCATCGTTTGGGCCCAGACCTCCCAGTTCTCCTTGCCGACGAGCTTCTGATGGTCTTGGAGGCGAGGGATAGAGGTGGATGTAAAGGCGAGGGCCGTCTCTGGGGTGGATTCAGACATAATGTAAAAAGGATAATACGTCGTAAGGCTAGCCTACAAATAAGGCAAAATATAAGCCAAGGAGCGACCTCTTTCTGTATAAAAAGAACAGTTACGACGGAGAAACACTTGAAGGCTTGTGGCAACAAGGGTAGCTAGTTCTGGAGGCGCGCAAGCAGAAAGAGGGTGATCAGAATGAATCAGACCAGTAGAAAAAGCTTAAAAGGTAAGGGCTGCTGGAGGTCGTGATCGATCAGAGATGCTACCATGTTAGATTTCAAAGTGTTCTATTAAGGAGAGGAATTCCAGCTACTCTGGGGCGGCCAGAATGGCCCTATATATATCCAAGATACTAAAGGAAAGGATACGTGGCCTTATATTGGCCACATATGTGACAGAGTCACAAATGGGGATGGTGATCCTGAAGGATGACTATGGATGGGCTAACGTAGCCCAGAATCCAACAAGTACTCTGATTGCACAGTAGATTGAGCCACAACAGTCTGCAGCTTGGATGCCCAGGAGACAGCGCCCCCAGCAAAGGTGAACAGGTAGCCTGAGGTGGATTTGGCACAGGTCTTGATGCTTCCAGCATAGCTGGCATCACAGTAACCAATCAGCAGATCCGGAATCATCTCAAGAACCTCTTGTGGGCTCTTCCCGACATATTCAGGACCTCCAAATTTGATCCCAAGATCTTGAGATATTGAGCTGAGCAAGGGTTGTGAAGGTATCGCGAGAGAACACCCATAGAGTATGCAATATCTGGTCTTGTATATGATGCAGGAAAGTTCTCAGAACTAATCAGGGACTGGTATGTTTGAATAGGACATGTATCAATCTCAAGGTCGTTGTCCAGGGCCTCCATCTGTTACACTGCTTGAAAAGATATCGGCACGTTCATCTTGCCAGTGTTCTGCTGGTTGAACGCCTCTGAAGTTCGTCTCACATACGTATATTGAAAGAGATATACTGTCCTCTCAGCCCGGTTTCTGACATGTGGACTCTTAGGAAGTGTTCAGCAGCTCCCATGTCCTTAATCTCAAAGAAGTCAGAGAGACCATCAGGCGTCTCCATAAAGAACTCTTCATCCAGTTCTCCCATCAGGAAGGCAGATACAGCATCCATCTGATCAATCTCCCAGTCCAGAACGGCAGCAATGGCTAGAAGGAGCCTCCAGGTGGTAGTACGAGCGCCTGAGGCCTGGGTTTCAAAATAGTCGAGGCCATGGCGTTGCATAAAGCCTCATACAATCAGCCTAGCCTTGTACCAAGAGGTGTTGTCGTCAGAGTCCTTCTTCCGCTTATAAACGTTGCGGCTAGAGAGAGTTTTACGCCCAGTACGCAGGTCAGTCCTCCACATAGGGATAAAGGTATTATTCCGCTATAGTGCACGAATTTCTGTGTGTGTGCCATCCAGCCATTGGGGAGCCTCAGCAGATTCCATGGCTTCCTTGTAGCTAGAAGGCTCGTCATCACAGGGAAATGCCTGACCAGGGTCAGAAGAAAGCCAATTAGCATAAGACGCCTCGATCATAACATATTGAGATATGCCAGAGGTGGAAGACTCGGCCACGTAGTGGTTGTGAGTCCTCCAAGTGCGCCCTCCGGAGAGTATATTCTCTGGGTTAAGCCCTGATTGGATTTTCGACCTCGGAGCAGCCGTTGGGGCTATTTCTTGACGAGGTGGTTCAGATGATATAAGAATCGGTTCAGTTGGAATAACACTGGGCTCAGGGTTGCTGTCTCCAGAATCAATCGGAATGATTATCATAGTCAGAGGCGTCAGGAGATTCAAGAGGGGTCCCTAACGTGACAACTGGTGGAAGGGTATCATCTCTACCATCGCTTCCATCATTTGACTTGATACATATATGCTGAGGATCTTGAGCGCCCTCTAGAGAAGATTGCATTGACAAATCTTTAATATCAGGTCTGGTTGTCTCATAGTCATTGTGTGTACCACGGAAATTTGGATAGATGTGGATTGAGTCCCCTGAAAGCACATACCAATCCAAGATCTCAAGATGGGCAGTGACTACAACTTTTCTCAAGTGCGTAAGATACACCTGATACTGGTTGGAGCCAAAGGAACGAAGAATACGGCCTCTCCTTGCATGAGGTGTGGTCTTGTCTCCCTTGGGGCGGCGCTGCTGTGGCAGATGGACCACAGCGGCCTGCCCGATTGACAATAAATTCGTCAGATCAGGCTTGTTTTCTTTTCCAGGGTTCAGATCGTCAAAAAAGACTTCAAAAGGAGTCTTCTTAATACCCTGAAGGAAAGATGTATAGCTCACATTGAGCCTATCACATACAGCAGGTCCAACAACCGGCCAAAGGGCTTCAGGTAGCCCGGAATCCTTTATAATACTGCGAATGAGAGCGTGTATAACGCCAAAGGATCTCTCAGCCACTCCGTTCTGTTCAGGAGTGTATGGAGCACTGACTTCAAACAGGATACCACGTTCAGTTCCCCGTTGCTTGAATCTTGCGTATTCAGAACCACTATCTATTCAGAATCGCTTTGGGTAACGCCCGTACTGGGTGTGAGCGCATTCACAGTAACGAATGGCTTGGTCAGAAGCTTCCCCTTTCTTCTCATGAGGGCAGTATTCCCTCAAATGAGACTTGCCATCCACAAATACAGTGGCATAGAGAGAACCATTATAGCCTTGGACAGAGTGCTTGGCTGTATCTATATGGACAAGGTCTAAAGCATGATCTGGATGTTTCTGTTCAACTCGAGAGACTAGCGACGTAGATTGGACTCCAGACATTCCAGACAAGTGAATTCTTTTGCCCGCTCTTGTACATTTGGCGGCAATTCAATCCTTTTGGTGATACTGGCTGTCTTGATCAGGTCACCAATAGATCAGTGGCCAAGTCTTGTATGCCAGCGGTGGAGTAGTCTCAGCGCCACAGATTTAGCTTGAGAGGTCAGTTCCAAGGAAGAATCCTTGGATACCATATTGATGAACACGTCCGGGGCTGGATTGTGAACCGGACTGGGCGGCGAACCCATTCTTGCAGCCACCGGCCGAGGACGGGTTGGCTTGCCGGTCGTGTCGGTACGTCTGCCGGGCCGAGAAGCTGATGAAAGAGCACTACCAAAAAGAGCATTCGTGGGTTAACCCGCGTAACCGGGGGAGGCCGGCCGGCTCTTTTCAAGGCCCGGGCCCAGCAGCCACGAAAAGGAAAGAAGGAGAACGAGGGGATGACACAGGTCTGCCGTGGCGTACGCAGGTCCGCTGCCAGCGCTTGTTTTCCGGGCGGGCGGCAAGCGGCTGGTTTGAGGTGGAGCGGCCATTGAGCAAGCAGATCGCGGCCGCAGAAGCGGATGTAGGAACAGGCAGCAGCAGCAGCATTGATAGCACTGGCACCAACAGCGATACGTGGCAGCTCATGCTAGCAGCATACGACGCCAAACTGGCAGCAGAAGAGGAGGAGCGGCGACGGAAGGCGGACGGGCCCGGCGGAATCGATGCGGACTCGGCTTGGATACGGGAGATGGGGTGGGCCAGTCATCTTGAAGGCAAGGATCTGGTAGTATTGCACGCTGCTAGCTTGGGCCCGCTGTCGAGGGCCGCACTAGAGAGGCTGCGTGACACGGCATTAAAGGACGAGCAACAGCAGCTGACACGGCTTGCCGAGAGCTTCGACCGGGAGGTGGCGCGGTGCACGGCACGGCTGGAGCTTGTGCCGCACGAGACGCTGCGATGGCTGGCAAGCATCGACCCGGGCAAGCCGGCCGGGCGGCCGTTCGGCGTCAAGGAGCACGCCAGCTCGATGGACCGGTACAAGGGGTATTGGAAGCGATATCTGTGCTACTGCTTGCGGGCGCTGCAATTAGGGCGGGAGGAGGCGGCGGCGCAGCACGCGGTGCGGTTTTCCGACCCGCAGTGGGGCCGGCTGGAGGCGGTCGCGCAGCTGCTGGACGACGCTGCTAACGACGCTGCTAACGACGCTGCTAACGACGCTGCTAACGACGCTGCTAACGACGCTGCTAACGACGCTGCTAACGACGCTGCTAACGACGCTGCTAACGACGCTGCTAACGACGCTGCTAACGACGCTGCTAACGACGCTGCTAACGACGCTGCTAACGACGCTGCTAACAACGCTGCTAACAACGTCGGTGCTGCCGCCGACATGGAGGACAAGGACAACGACAACGAAGCCGAGAGGCAGGCGCGTGCGCTAGACCGGCTGGTCTTTCTTTTCTGTATCGGCTCGCTTGAACAGAAGGTGGCGTTCGACGTATACGTCAACCCGCTACTTCACTTTGCCGCCGTGCTAGGGATCGACGGGCCGCGGCGGGCGTGGAAACAGGCAAAGGACTACACGGGCCAGCTCGCCGGGATTATGTGGTGCGGGCGGCTGCTCATGCTGGAGCGCGTGTTCGAGGGCCAGCCGGAAGACCCGGGCGAGATGGACGCCGAGGTGGCCGAGCAGTTCAAGGAGGCGTACTGGCAGTGACTGGCGGACAGGTCAAACAGCCCGTTCAGCACGATGATCCGGTGGATGTCGTACGGCAAGAGACACCGGCGAAAGGAGGGCGGCACGGCACGGATCACGTGGGAAGAGGGCGGGCAAGCGCTGCGATATCTGGGGCAACGGGTCACGGTGCAGGAGTTCAGGGGCGCGGCACAGGCCGGGGCGCGAGGCCGAGGGGCTGCTGGACGGGCTGTGCTTTCGGCGGTGGGCGGAGGCGCGGGCGTCGGTGAACACGGGCCGGATCGTCGACAGCATGGTGTACAAGGGGCCGGGACGGTCGTTCGTGACGGGCGGCAAGAATGACTGGCTGCGGCCGGGGCACCGCCGGATAGCGGAACTGGCACTCGAGACCGGCAGGCTATGGGACGCGCAGAAGGGCCAGTGGCGCGACAAGCAGGTGGCAGAGTGGGCAGCACGGGCACAAGAGTTCAGGCGGGCGCTTCTGGCGTGTACGCACATCTTGGGAGGGCAACCGGGCCAGAGATGATGACGATGCGGCACTGCGACACGCAGCAGCTGCTGCAGAACGTGTTCGTGTTCGACGGGGACGTGCTGCTCGTGACAGACCGGGACAAGAACAAGACAATCCGGGGCATCGAGCGCAAGGTGGCGCGGTTTCTGCCGGCACACGTGGGCAAGATGATGGTGGCGTACGTGGCGTGGGTGCTGCCGTTCGAGAAGATGCTGCACGCACAGGCGGGCGGGGCGGTAGGCGGACGAGCGCTGTTGACCGCTCTGGACAGGTGGCTATAGAAGGACGGACAGAAGGGACGGTGGGAGACGGCGGAGCTAAGCAAGCAGCTGGCGGCGCTGACGGGGCAACATATCAGGGTGGAGCTGACGGTAGCAGACTATCGACACGTGACGATCGTGCTGGGGCGGAAGATCCGGGGTCTGGTGGTACGACAGCTCGAGGTGGATATCGGGACAGCCGAACAGGATGACATTAGAGGCGGCGGGGGCCGGGACGTGAAGATGCGGTGACGGGCGAGACGCGGGAGCAGCAAAAGACGGAGTCCATCTGGGATCTGCGGGCGACGCACGGCAGCGCGATAGCACGGCAGCATTACGTGCTCGACGTACGATTCCCGGGGCAGCTGCAGCCGCAGATGATAGCAAACTACCGGGAGATCAGCCAGTTATGGCACGGGTACATACAGGCAAGCGGCGGCGGCGATCAGGATCAAGACGATGATCACAAGAGCGCCGGCAAGGACAAGAAGAGACAAGCCAAAACAGCAAGCGGGGGCAGGGACAATGACAGAGATGGTAGAGACAGCAAGAAAAAGAAGATGGGCAGCGTCAGACCCAGCCCGAGGGCTACGGAGAGGAAAGACGGCAGGGACAAGATCAAAAACAGCAGCAGCAAGGGGAGCCGCGAGACCAGGATAGACGGCGGGCTGCGCACGCTGCTAGGCATCGACGCCCGCTGGAAGACAGAAGAGCAGCCGGCTGCAATGGCAAAGGTGATGGCAATGAAGGGTGGACAGGCACTCATCGTGGTGCTGCCGACGGGTGGCGGGAAGAGCATTCTCTTTATGCTGCCAGCAGTGACGGAGAAGACGGGGACAACGGTAATGGTGGTGCCGTTCGTGGCGCTGATAGACGATCTGGTAGCGCGGGCACGGGACTTTGGGGTGGACAGTCTGCGGTGGCAGACAGCCGCGCGGACGGGGCAGGACGAGCCCCAGCGGGAGGCACGGCTAGTGGTGGTCAGTGCGGACGTTGCGAGTAGCAACGAGTTCACGACATACGCGGACGGACTGCGGGCGCGGGGTCTGCTGTGACGGATCTTTATAGACGAGTGCCACATGATCATCATGGACGCTGGGTACCGGGCTAAGCTAGCGGGGCTATAAGGGCTGTACCGGTTCGACTGCCCGGTAGTACTGCTAACAGCAACGATGCCGGTGCGGCTGGTGCGGTAGTTCCGGGAAGCGATGGTGGCGCAGGACGCGGCGATGGTACGGGCGGCGACGGTCAAGCGGAATACCCGGTACGGGGTGGCGGAGGTCAAGGCGGGCAAGGACATGGTAGAGGAAGAGGTGGTCCAGACGGTCGTACGGATAAAGAAAGGGATACATACGGGGCAGAAAGGCGTGGTATACTGCCAATCAAAAAACAAATACGAGGCGCTAACAAAGAAGTTAGGGTGCGCATTCTATCACAGCGGCATGGTCAACGAGGCCCGGAAAGCAGTGCTAAAAGAGTGGGCAGAAGGAAGAGGAGAGACGCGTTGGGTAGTGGCGACGACGGGGCTCGGGACTGGGGTAGACATTCAGGGGCTCGTGGCGGTGATACATGCGGAGCAGCCGTACGGGTTGGTCGACTTTGTGCAGCAGACGGGGCGAGGCGGGCGGCGGGCGTGCGAGGTGGTCGAGTCGGTCATCGTGACGGACGGACGGGCAGGGTGGCACAATGAACAGGACAATGACGTGGAGCAGCTCAACCGGCAGGCGATGGCATGGTTCGTGCAAGGGGCGGACTGCCGGCGGGTGGTGCTGGGGGTGTTTATGGACGGGGTGGGAAAAGACTGTGAAGAGGTGGGTGGCGAGTGGTGTGACCGCTGCCGGCAGCGCACCGGCGGCGGCAGCAGTAGCAGCAGCAGCCGGGATATCTTTCAAGGAAGGGAGGAGACGGAAGAGGAGACGGAAGAGGAGACGGAAGAGGAGACGGAAGGAGAGCCGGAAGGGGAGCCAGCGAACCGGCTTAAGGAGCACCGAAAAGAACAATATCGACGAGTTCAACGGCTACACAACTGGCTACAGGAAATCAAAGGAAAGTGTGCGGTATGTTACGTTATGTGGCATTATCACGGACGGCAAGATAAGCAGCGAACGCGGTACAAGCACACGGCAAGAGAATGCAGCGCAATACGGATACAGGAGTACGTAGCGTGGCGACAAAAGGTCCGATTCAGAGAATACAGCTGCTGCTAGAAGTGTGGGCTGCCGCAAGGGTGGTGCGAAAAGACAATGACAAGGCAAAGAGAGATAAAAGAAAGGACGGGAGAAAAGCAAGAAGGAGAAGCAGCATGCAAGTGGATGGATCAGATATTACGGGTGGTGATGCTGGTGACAAAAAGCAAAATAATTAAGCAATTGTTTCAAAAAAGATTTAAAATAAACACGGAGAAAGAAGGAGACTATATACAATGAGTAGGGCGATCGCGAAAGGTATACGAGGAAGACGCAACAAACGGGGTAGCATCATGGGCTTGCATAGTAGAAGTATGCTTTTCATAGTACTTTATCTATTGGTTTGTTGCTATATTTCTTTTTGATGAAAACGTAATTGTAGGTTTTGAGTCTTGTGTACGATTAGTAAAGATGAAGTCAATTTAACTGATTGTATTTTTCAAAAAGTCGCACGTTGAAATGAAAGGCGTAATTATATTTCATTTGAGAACCAACCCGGCACCAAAAAAAATAATAATACATCATTCTATATAACATTTATGATATGAAAAAAGAGATGGAAAAGCTCAATGTTTTCATATTAAAAGAACAACATTAAAATAAAAACAATATAGTATAAAGATAGAATAGAATAAACATTTAGCCGGACGTAAAAGGTAGACAGATTATAAAGAACACCGGGTCAAAGGAAAAGAGCGCTAATGTTCTAAAAAGTTGTACTATAAGGCAAAGAAAAAACAAAAAATAATAAGACAAAGACTACAAAGCTTGATCATAAAACAAGACATGAAGTAAATTACACATAATAAAATTCTTATTAATAAATGTACAATTAGCATGAAGATAATGTTGTTATAAGGGTTTAAACCCGAAACATAAACTATAATACTACTGGATTAAAGTACAATATTATAGAACAGGTACTAAGATAGTATAGTATACATAAACACAAGAATAAAGTACGTTGATAATCGGGTAAAGAAAAACTTGTAGGAAATAATGGACTTTTTATATAAATAAAATTATTTTATTCAAAAAATGATGTAACGTGTATAGCGAATAAGATTATAAAGATTGTCACTCGATTATACGAAATAGTTACTAGTGTTCATTATATGAAATGTTATTTAGCGTACAACATTTTCATAGCTTAAAACGGATTAGATTTAAAGTAAAGAACTACAAGTATGTAGTTGTAAGAAAATAAATTTGATAATAGTTACGTGTATTGAAACGGTAAGTGTCACATTCCGTAGATATTGGATGGTAGCGACCATCACAGTAAGCATACATTTGAACTTTTATCTGATTACTTTTTGTAAGGGGTACGAGGCGCAACTCGATGCTCGTGTGTATAGTAGCACGTATGGAATGTGTACGTATATGTGCTGTATTACTTCTATTTTTAGGTATATATTAAACGGGTAACGTGTACCGAGATATTATATACAAAAAGGTCGAATAAGAGGAGGATGTTTAAATAAGCTTAATGATAGTAAAAGCACAAGAATAAAAATAGTCAAAGTCAAAGAGGAAGAATTAACGTATAACAAAACGAGCAACTTGTCACGATTAGTGTAAAACGCGGCACAGGTTATATAAAAGAAAAGATAGAATAAGACAAAATATAAAATCTAGTAAAACAATGGTATTATGAAGAAACTGAACAAATAGGAACTGAAAGAATAAGATGATAAGTAGTGAAGGAAAAAAAAGTAAGGAATAGATGTTTGAATTATGCGATGAAAAGTATGCCATAAAGATAAGGTTAAATGTGATAACGCGAATATGGAACAAAGCTGAAAAGAAAAAGTTCAAGATGTTGAAGTATATAAGGATATTAAAAAAGAAGAAGTTGATAGTTGAAAAAGGGGAAAAAAGGAAGATACATATAGCATAATATATCTAAATAGTTAGGTATGTAAAGAGACTATAAAAATGAAAAAAATAATACGATAGGAAATACATAGGAAAAGAAGTACATTATTAGCTGGCCAGAAGCTAAAGGTTAGTGACGAAAAACGATACTCATAGTGTAAGCTTAGGGTTACGATTAAGCGCGTGGCAAGTAAAAGAAACAAGATTCGAAGCGTAAAGAGGCGCAACTTGAAGTAACAGTAACAAAGACGGGAAAGAAAAGAAAGAGTAAAAAGGGCGGAAATTAAAATATAATGTTCGTTTAGATCAACAGGTTATCGTAGAGCATCTGCGCTAGTTTTATAAAAGAATCAAAATTATACATTACATATAAGCAACAAAAGAAGGGAAATATACTGGTAGCATGAAAGAAAGTAAAAAGGGGAAATAAAAAGACAAGCTTAGGGTTTACTATAGTAGTTGGTTCACGAGTATGATTATTAGGGGTATATTTAGAAGCAATAAAGTAAAAAGTAGTTAACGTAAATGAGGGTGGATGATAGATACTTTGTTTATGAAATATGTAACGTGGCTAGGAGATTAAACGCTGTGAGAGGAAGATATGACAAGGTACAAAAAACAGGAATAAGAATAGTGCACGGAGAACATGAGGGAATAAACCGCGATGAAAATGAGGTAATTTATGATGAAAAGATTGGAAGTTACATTTAGTATAAGAAAAGAAAACAAGCTGGTAGAGAGATACGAAGAAAGGAAACAGAGAAGAAAGAAAGAAACTAGAAAAAAAAAAAAAGAGAGAAAAAAAAGAAAAAAGAGAGGAAAGAAAGTATAAGAAGAAGGGTATTGTTGTTGATAGAAAAGAGTGGGTTTAGACATGAAAATAGCGATGATTTATGATAGCAAGGCTTAAAGTGAAAAGAAGTGAGATGGTTACATAAGATTAAAAGTATTGCGAGGAAAAATAAAAGAGCAAGATATAATTAAAGTATAAGGTGTATAAGATATAAAACCCGTAAAAAGTAAATACAGTAGCTTATTTAAAATAGCGATCAGGATAAGGGTAAGATAAGTTTTACGGGTTTAGGGTCAAGGTAAAGACGAAAACAAAGACGAAGACTGATGCGAGGTTAAGGATAAAAGAGTGCAAAGATGACAGGAAATAAATGAGGAAGTAATCATAGTCCAGACTGAGGGTTAGGATTAGGCACGTCGCGACCGACCTGAAGAAGAAATCCCCATTTAATTCAAAAACATCTTTCGATCTTCTCAGAAGATCGAAACAATCGACTGATTAAAGAGTACATTTTCCCAAAGTGCAGTTTTAATTAATGGAATTGTTTCGATCTTCTGAGAAGATTAAAAGAATGGATTGATTAAAAAGTACATTTCCCAAAAGTGCAGTTTTAATGCATAAAAATGTTTCAGTCTTCTGAGAAGATCGAAAGACTGGATTGATTAGAAAGTACAATTTCTAAAAGTGCAGTTTTAATGCATAAAACTCTTCGATCTTCTCAGAAGATCGAAAGAATTGCACGGTTCAACTCTGCTACAATGAAGATCAAAGAAAAAATACATCATGTCACAGGAAGAAAAAGAAGGGTCTCGTGAGATAAGCTTACAACTGGTCGCTTCAATGTTGGTTGTTCAGTTGGTCGTTCTCGCAGTATCAACGCAAAATGTACACCTTGTAAATGTTTACTGAACGAGACTCTCACCCTCTATGGCGTCCCGTTCCAGGGCACTCCAGTAAGCATTGTATGTCTAGTCGTCTCGGTACAGCTTCTCAACCAACAATGACACCAAATAGGGTTCAGAAAAATAAACGAGAGAAGGTTGGGAACTCAAAGTCTCCAAGTCAGTGGGAAAGGCCGGCACTTTGATAAATACCCTGGTCATCATACGAGGTCCGTTCCCTATTCCCATGTCAGACATGTCTGATCCTCCACCACATCTGACATACTAGACAGGGCTGTCCCATAAACCCTTGCTCCATGAATCCACCTTGTTTGATTATACGACTCCACATTCTAGAACTAGACAAGGCTACGGAACAGGGCGTCCCCGCCATGATGACCTCCTTGCTGGCCGCCGAGCTCAGCGCCTGCTTCGTCGGTTGTGTCAATCTCTGGATTACAGTCACCAAGACTTGACTCCCATCACACCTTTTCCCCCACTTCGTAAAGCCGACAAAAATCGGTTGTCTTGAACAATGGCTACTCCTGACATGAATGGTATTCTTGAGGCCACACAGCAATACTCAAACCTGAATAAACGAAAAAAGTTATCGACAGCTCGTCAGCCGGCCGAACGAGAGCCTCGACTTCCTGCTCTGCCACCGGACTCTTCCCCTGCGGCGTCTTCTGCTCCTGGAAATATATCTGGTATATTACAAACTAAACTGTCTCGGCCGGATGCAGCCACGAAGCAAGTGGAGAAAACCTTCGAGGCCATACAGAAGCTTAACCAGCCGTTTACCGAACGTACAATAACGTCGTTACTTGAGAAAGCCTTCCACGTTCTTGTTGAGAAGAACATCTCGATCGACCTAGATAATATCATCAACACTTGCGTACCAGAAGCTGAACAAGTAATGTGGGGTTACTGCCAACCTCGATCTGGCCAGAGTACGTTTACTTCCTACCTACCTAGACTTTGTTGAGAGCTCATGTTCAGGCCACACAGCCGGTGCCAACGCCCTTTTGCCGGCCGGCGATACATCATCCAACAAGAAGCGAAAAGCCCATACCGACGCTTATGGCGATTCTCCAGTGGAAAGTTCTGCCGAATTGGACATATCTTCTCGGCCCAAACCTACCAAGCGCAAAAAGCAGGTAGGCCAATCGTCAAGAGGCCGGCCCAAGGCAGTTCTTGTCACCAACATCGAACAACTCGAAGCCCAACTGGAGTCTTTCCAATACGGCGCCGATCACAAAGACATCTTGCGTCATGCTCGCGAACAGACGGTCACCCCTGCGAAGACGGCCACCCCTGCCGCTAGCGTCGAAAATGCCCCTTCTGTCAGCACAACCTTGACCCAGTCCAGTCCAGGGGTCAACCCCGACGCGTCCACCACCTGCTCTACAGCTTGGATGATTTACGGTGTCATGTTTGGGGAACAAGGCCACAAGCGCATCCGCCGGCTCATTGCGGAGAACACGTCCAGCAACCCTCGATTATGGAATGTCAGAGTCTCCTACAATGCAGCTACGGCATTACAAGAACCCAACATGCATCCCAAAGTCCAATCCATCTTCCAACTAACCCACAGCCTTACCCAGCAGAACACCAAGCTTGTCACATTTAGCGTGTTACAGATGTACCAACGGTATCTGTTCTGTGAGGAATGGGACAGCCTTACCAAAGAGGCAAGAGATGAGCAGTCGATCACAGGGACTACCGGCTCGGGTAGCAGTCCACAGACCGTCCAAGCCTTCCTACCCGAAAGAGGATACCATACCAGACGTGGCCATGCCATATCCAGCTGCCTGCTTGAGTACTTTACCATGAAGCTCGGCTTTCGCTCGAAGAGAGCATTGAGCCAGATGATCTACAGCCATCGCCCGGTTCAAGCCCTGGTCCATATTTTCGGCCAAGGCGTCATCCCTTTCGTCCCACCAACCGAGCTCAACACGTAGTACGTCCAAACTGAACACCTCCTCTTCTGCCATACGTAACTGACACATATCATCCTCCCAGCTGGAAGCAAAAGAGCTTGGGTACAGACAAGGACAAGCTGCAACGTTTCCAAGACCTGATCCAGGAAGCCTATCAGATCGGCAACACGAAAGACATTTGTGAAGCCGCCGACATATCTTTTCTCCAGCCTCTACTTCTCAACAAGACAAGTCTGGAGACAACAGGCTCCCGTTCTGCAGATCCAGCTACATGCTCACTTTTAGACTTAGTTACTCCCACACGGCCTGGCACTCAGATAGACGAGCTGGATAATAATTGAACTCTTACTTCTTATTTTGCGACCTGTGTGTTTTCGTTCTAAGCGGTGTACAGACAAGGATAATCTCGGTGATGGCACCAACTCAAGCACCAACTCAAGCACCGGGAGTTACGCGATTGGCTAGATAGGCAGTGTATGTACATAGAAGAACTAGTCTAGCACGCCTGAGCGGCCTCTTAGAGCCCATAGTTGACACCGCTGCGCGGCAGTTCCCCCGGCGTTCAACAACAACAACAACAACCTCACTTACCCCTGTCCGATTTCACTGCCTTCACACACCCTGCTGCCGGGCTCGGCTATCATGCTGCGTAGGGACCCATGGTAATTGCGTGTATCAGAACCGGGTGGAGGTCTGGTGCGTTTCCTTGTCTTTCCATCGGTAGTCCCCAAGACAATCAAGGGGCATGTACTAGAGCCTATTAATAACTTTACCTGTTACTTCCAGTATGTCCCCCGGTGAACGGTGTGGTATCGTCGGGTTCGGCTGGACCTTCACTTCCGATGTATTCCTTCCTAGCCGTCGGATGTGCCACCCCTGATGCTACGTGTAAGTCGGCAGCCTGCACGTTTGGCCCACCCGTTGATATGACTATCTACATCCACTGTGTACTCAGACGAAGGGGGGCAGAGCCAGAGGGGCTGCGGTGAGAAACGAACCAATGACCAAAAGGGGGCTCTGTACTACCCAGCTCATTTTCTTCTTCTGATACAACAACACGACCTGGGTCAGGCTTGGATACGAGGGCTCCTGCAGCGGATTCATAGCCGATTTCCGGCCCAGGGGGATTAGGGCACTGGAGGCTCAGAGCCAGTCGTCTCCATCCCAAGCCGCTGCACCAACCAACACGGTTTCCAGTCTGAAAGCCTGGCAGACGTGTCCACGTACTGGGTTGCGGGCCATCATTGTGTCACACACCTACACGCTTCATGATGTGGCATACTTGATATTGAGAAGAACAGATCCGCGGAAGACGGGAAGCTGCCGCTTCCTTTCTCGGCTCACTCTGCATATCATAAGGGGGAGAATACGATCAACATGGCTGTGTGCGTTGTCCTACGTCCCATCCTCGGAAGACTCATCTGCTTGTTCCCAGGACCACTGTTTGCTTACCCCCGGGCTAATCCTTGCCTACATACTGCATGTGCTTCGTCTAGGGTGTGGGAATCGAGCTGTGTTGTGGAGATCGCCAGGATACAGTGGCCGTGCAGTTCAAGGCTCCCGGACACGAGTAGGTCACGACATATGCAGGCGAGACAATATGCTCCTGGTAAGCCGTTCTTCCGATGTCTCCCTGCTCAGAGCTGCCTGATTCCTTCTGCGATACGTATCGAGAAAGATATTATGCAAAAATTCTTCTATTAGTGCCGGGAGCATCTCCGCGTATTCTACTATAAGTTGCTCGTAGAGGGCAAGTGCCTTGGTCCCATATACGCCGTCTCGAATTGTGGTCCTCGATACTGTGTTCAGACCCTTGAACCGAAGAACCTGATGACCTTACTGACGCAGTTGATGGGCTGCTTCCTCTCTGGAATGTACGCAAAGCTTCCAATCCTGAGAAGTCAAAAGATAGGACAGGAAATGAGCAGCCTGAGTGTCCAACCCCTGATGTCGACGATACGGCGCCTAACCCTCCACTTCACCAAGTATTTATGGTGCCAAGATTTTACATGTTGATATCGCGAGGAATTGGAGGCGGACCCTCGTGTGTTTCACTTCTCTGCTTCAGCGAGTCGACAACCAACTAAAGCCATGACTAACCGGTGGCTGGGATAATAGTGAACCATGAGTCACGGGTGAATTTTCCAGCGCACAACCGGCTCAGATTGGATGCCTCTTCTCGTGCCGTGTTCCATAGTAACTGATTTAACGTGACAATCGTGAGCGATTTCGACTTTGTTCGTACAGTAGAAGCAGGAGCAAATTTCGAATGCCCGAGCGTAGCGAACGGGACACAGGTTTTCCAAGTGACAAGAAGTGCTTGAGTCCATACGGCCCAAGTATTTCTAATTAATCTCCTGTTAGGACTAAAGCTTGCATGAGAAAGGGTATGATGACCTTGGCTGTTCTGGGTTCGCTGGAGATACCCAGTCGACGGGCGCTACGCGGTTGTTGGCCAGTGAGATATCTCCTTTGCGATCTCGTCAAGCTGTGAACCCATGTCATGTGCGAACGCTTCTTCTTCAAGAGGGGTGAAGGCGATCGCGAAGGGGTATCCACGTTTTTCACTACACAGCTCATCAAGAAAAAGCCAGCACTTGCCTCGCACGTCAAGGATGTTATCGACGCCGACCCTGATATCTTTGGCAAAACACTTCGAGAACAGTTCCAAGATTCCTCAAGATACTGGGGAATCTAACACCCTTGTTTTCATAATCGACACCCTCGACGAATGCGAACCAGACAGAGACGTCAAACTTATTATCCATCTGTTTCCTCGCGCTAACGCTTCACAATGTCCGCAACTACGAATATTTATAACAAGCAGGCCCGAATTACTTATTCGTCTTGGGTTCAGCGACGTCAAGGGAACCTACCAAGACCTGGTCTTACATGAAATGTTCCAGCCAGTGATGCGGCATGATTTATCTGCGTATTTCAAGTACGAGCTGGCGAGGATCAGGGACGATCATAATCAGTCCGTGTCAACAGAGTGACAACTGCCGCCCAAGTGGCCTCAACAATCGGAAATTCAAGGACTGGTGGAAATGGCGATTCCTCTCTTCATCTTCGCTGCAACGACATGCCGTTTTCTTGCCGATCGTAACGGTGGCAACCCGGCTAGAAAACTTCACAAGGTTCTGGTGCACCGAACCGCAAGCCAAAAATCCAAGTTGGATGGGACATACTTGCCTGTTTTGAACCAAATGGTTGCGGGCTATTCTGATCAGGAGAAAGATGAGGCCATATGCGAGTTTCAAGATATCGTAGGCTCAATCGCTATCCTGGCGAGACCCCTATCAACTTCAGCATTGGCGAGAATGCTCAATGTGGCACAAGGCATTATTGAAGTTAGGTTAGACCTGCTTCATTCGGTGCTCGCGACTTCCTTTTAGACCCGGCAAAGCGTCAAAGTCTGTTCTTGGTGGACGAGAAGGAGACTCACAAGCAGCTGGCAACACACTGTTTGCGGATAATGAACGAGAATCTTCAGACAGACATATGCAAAGTACAGTGGCCGGGAACTTCGCAAGCATCTATTGAATCTCGGACAATGAGCAGCAACCTACCGCCAGAACTTGTGCCAATACTGGATCTTCCATGCTGAGCGAGCCGGCGATCAAGTAACATCTCCCACCCCCCTGCGGACCACCCCCCCGCGGACCAGCGCGTTCTGACCCACAAACGCGTAATTCACCAACCACCAGGATTATGGTGATCCACCATCTACACCATCACTTTTGTATCTTTTTTTTCACAAAGCACACTATTTGAATCCTTATCCACTACTGAATCTCATGATGTTATTTTACGACCGTCAAATAAAAGCTGAAGCCGCCATTTTGGCCATCCAACGCGGAGCTCCAGTCCGCTCGTCAGCCCTCGAATGGCGCATCAGTCGCTCGTACGTCAACCGACGAATCTCTGGCACCCCAACGCGGAATGAGACCAGCGCTCTCCAACAGGCTCTCTCACCGTATCTCGAACATAAGCTGGCAAGCTGGGCCCTGGGGCAAGCACGGCTAGGGTATTCTCTGGCGGTCTCTAAGTTCTGTCTCATGGCCTAGCGGATGCTCCATGCCACCGGGGATGCTCGAGAATTAGGGAAAAATTGGGCATCCAAGTTCCTGTCTCGAAACCCGGAAGTCAAGATAATAAAGTCTCATGTTATCGACTATAACCGAGTGAATAGTACTATAGCGGCAAATATCAACATTTTTTTCGATCGGTGTGACGCCCCTGACGTGGTTAACCTCATGCCAGCACGCTGGTACAACGTCGACGAAATGAGAATCGCCCAGGGGGTTGGGGACTCCCATTGGGTGGTCTCCGAGGCCTCCGGCAACGTGGCTATGAAGAAAGGGGTCGAGAAGGGTGAATGGATAACTGCCCTAGAGTGTGTGAGCGGATCTGGTGAGACCTTGCCGCTGCTGGTGATTCTCAAGGGGGTTAACGTACAAGCCTAGTGATTTAGTAACCAAAATAAGGGCAAATTCACTGACTGGAGGTTTATTACATCGCCCAATGGATGGACCTCGAATCCCATTGCGTTAGAATGGCTTCAATATATCTTTATTCCTTACATTCGGGAGGTCCATGGCAACACATGGGTGGTTTTGGTGTGTGATGGCCACGACTCGCACACGAATAACGAGTTCCTAGCCACCTGCTTGAGAAACAAAGTATGGTTGATCTTTTATGAACCTCACTGCTCCCATGTAGTCCAGGTGTTAGATGTAGGAGTCTTCAATTTGGTGAAGAAAAGGTTGAAGACCTTACTCCAGGAGACGCCCAGCGGCCGTCTGGGACTCAGGCCATCTAAGGAGGAGGTTTTGGAGTGCTACGAGCAGGCCCGGAAGGACACAATGACACTCCTCAACATCAGAATTGCCTGGAAAAAGACTGGGATTGTTCCTCGCAACAGAGCGGAGGCATTGAAGTCGAAATATGTGATTCTGGAGGACAAGGGGGTGGCCAGGGCACGCCAGAGGGACCCTAAGGCTTCCGAACAAGCCACAACACCAGATTTTCTCGAGATAGTAGCTAAAACCATTGTCACAACACCCTCTGGAAGCCGGGCTTTGCGGGAGAGTGCTCGAAAGCTCGAAAGAAAGGACCCTTCCTTTGGGGGGCCCTTTGAGCGCTTGTTGGTGCGGAAGGCTGGCAAGGCCATGGATGTTCAGGCTGCTACCATTACAAATCTACGGGCCAAATGTGAGCTGCTTGAGGCTCAAGTGGCTAAAAAGGCTAATACCACTCAAAAAGCAGTCAAACCAACACCAGGGGAACGATTCGTCACAATGGCTAACATAAGGGAGGCCAAAATGGAGCTGAGGAACAGGAGGGTCTATAGGGACTCCGCTGCAGGCGAAGAGGTCCCACAAGAGGTCCCACAAGAGGTCCCTGGTGAAGATTTAGGGTCAGAATCGGATTCTGGGAGCTGTATTATGGTTAGAACACCACGACCTTAGTGTATTTAGCAACTGTGGTGGTTGTAGATGGCTTCATCTGAATGAGAGTGGTGTGGTGTGGAGTGGTCCGTGGGGGGGTGGTCCGCAGGGGGGGGGGTGAGATGTTACGTGATGGTGTCCAGTCCGCGACTTCTTAAGGCAGCACTTTCTTCACTGGACGGAAACATTGAGCCTAATGGTAAAGGCCACAGAAATTCTTCAGAATATCAAGGTATTGTAGTCACTTTCTCAGGTTCGTCAAACATAATATTCCTAATTCTATTAGGGTTGTTCCTGATCTGATTTAGGCAAAGACTAGCGTAGAGGCGTCAATGTTTTTTACGGGTGCAGCACGCTTTATTGCAAACATGTCGTTGATATCATCATGGCCGCTCCAAACATACTGCTCAGCACTGGTTTTTGCACCAGCAAACAGTATCGTACGTACTATCTTCCAACTGGAACTTCCTCAATGGATATCTCTTCTTCCAAAAGTGGAAGCGCAGTGGCACACATGTCTGCAGACGCTCGAGGGCCACGGCGACCGGGTCAGCTCGGTCGCGTTCTCGCCCGCCTCGCGGCTCGTGGCGTCGGGCTCAGACGACAGGACGGTCCGGCTCTGGTCGGCCGAGACGGGGGCGCTGCAGCAGACGCTCGAGGGCTTCCCATTGCTACGCGAGGCAGTCCCTATAAGAGACAGTGTAAGAAGACCATCCTGCGATGACCCTTGATCGTCACATCGAGTGTTCGAGATGAAATAAATAGGAGCTTAATCTCTGTACGAAAAAATAACTTATATTGGACGATAGGTTGCTTAAGCCTAGATTCATGGCCGTGGAATGATTGGATATCAATCCTTGGGGTTCACTGAGTAGTCGAGTCGTCTTGAGATTTCTCCTACCTTATGGCTGGCTACGATGCTTATATTGATCGGTGAGGTAGAGACTTTCTATCCATCTAGTTGGCAAGTTTCCATCCTTATATATCCAATCCCTCCCTCGCTGATGAGGAAGTGCTCACTGTTGCTCATCCGAGCAGTCGTGTGCAACCTGGTCACGTCACCGGATGTCCTGATGATCCGTTGCGCCCCAGTGTTTGCCTCGTGTTCGGTTGGTTTGAATCCAGTTCTATTTTCAAGCTAGGAGGAATGGTCAACCTATTCCAGACTCCGGCACCTCAGAGGTATGTTCCTCAAGCAGAGGAACGAGTTCTGTGCTGTCTTGGAGGTAGACCAGAACGATCCGAGAAAGCCGCTTGTCCAAGCAGCCGAGGAAGTTAACGTCAACGAGGTGATCCGGCGCCGGACAGTCAATCGCACTAACGCCATATTCGCGGAGAACTTTGTTTCGAGGTTATACATTGAGCTTATGCCAGCCAAGGTTAATGTTGGCCTTGAAGTGTTTGCCATCAGGAAGTGTATCAGCACCTGATTTATACTACTGTTGCTCAGCGAAGGAATTCAAAGCCAAAGATAACCTCCTAGATGATACCATGTGAGCCAGTCTAACCTTGCCGCTTGTGCTGCATTCCATCACCTTGGAGAGCTTTCACGGTATATTTCGTAGTGAGAAAGGACGGCGGCAGTGTACTCGAGAATTTTCCAATCGTGCTCGTTGAGCTGCTTTTGATCCTTGAGGATTCGGGGCTTTTGTTTTTGCTAAAGCCCTGGCACTGACGTGATCAGTCCTTTATGATCCATTTGCATATTCCCATTCTCTGGAAATCCGTGGTTAATCGAGGGATGTAAGGGCGAAGCTTGAGGAGGCGGCGGATCATATAGATAGCTATCGAGTATCGTTCTCCAGATTCACGCAGAGTGGCTTATGGACAGAGTGGCTTGGATCATCAACATCTTCCTGTTGAATATCAAGGAGGATGTAATACAGACGATCGGAGCACCAGATGTCGACAAAAAGTTTGTGAACTTTGCCAACAGGGTCTCCTTTGCGGTACAGAGTTTGCTCAGCAGCAGAAAGGGGTTTTACTTTTGATATCTCGGCTTCGAATTCTGAGTATAGCCTATTTCACGCTTCTCTCTACCTCAAAATCGCGGCCGTGAGAGCTTCAGGGGCAAAATGGGCACATTCGATATCCGTAATGACACACAAGAGCATGTTATTATGTATAAAAAATGATTCCCTCCATAGGCTCACACAATCCGAAGTTACTATTGCCGTATACCCATTCCATTCCATCGGTGCAAGCGTGGCAGCTGCTTATGCAATATTGACAGTAGTCCAGCATCGGCTCGTCAGGAAACCCGTCTTCGCCATCCTGCTCCCCTGACGAACTAGAATCATCATTATCAAGTTCTGGAGCTTGAGGCCATCCACCCTCTTCCACTATCGAAGGGGTATTGGGGGTTGAGCCGAAGATGCTGGCGAGTGTTGCGCCAACGTGGCCTAGAATTTTCAATATGTCACCAGCCCTTTGCCAGCGCGTATGGTCTCCCACACAAAAACGGATTACCATGCACCTCACCCAATGTAGCCTGTCTGTATTCCAACCAAGGCCACCGGCTAACTCTTCAGGATCACATCCTATCATGTAGCCGCCATGGGTCTCGAGTGTCACCTGTTACGGTACAAGTACATTGTACCTCCACATGTACCTATATATATGGGAAGCCCACCTCTCACCCGAAGCGGCCTGCCTTCTTCCTTCTTCCTTCTTCATAGATCGTTGAATCTAGCTTTTTCTATCGATCAGTCCTGACCAGTTGTACTGCACGCCTGATCGTCACATCACCGGATTGTTGATTGTACTGGACAAGACCAGCGGGACACCTGCACAGCAAAGTAACTGCAGCGCAGCCTGGAGCTTGTCCTGAGAATTGATATATCGTCTTTGTTGATTTCTCGTATTAGTTCAGAGTTATGTTGGAATTACAGCTGAAACTTACTTGGGGTGTGCTTTCCATGGCAAATAAAGCTGACAATTTTCGTAAGACAAAGATAATTGCTTTCCGATGAATCGCTTAATGGCACAGGTCATGGATGGCTTTGGAGAATTGGCGAATTGACCATTGACGACGGTGGCGGCTTCATTTATAAAGTAACGAAAGACCCTCGTAAAAAACCTTGAAGTTATCAATCTTCTTCTTCATATTTATCGCCACTTAAAAAAGCCCAACTAGTGATTTTAAACATATAGTTAGAACTATGCATAAAAACAATAATTCCTTTATTACAATCAACCGTTTCTTCTATTTTTCGTAATTAAGGTTATATTTAACACAATTATAATCATAAACGATACTGAAATATGTATGAGACCGTATCGGGTTTAAAATAACTTAATGTATTTGTAAAAAACCGGAAACCTAAACTTATTTGAACTTTGAGGAATAAATAGTTTATAATTTACTGCATACCATTAAATGAAACCCAGTGATTCAAAAGAACTGGATTAGTTAACCAAAACTTTTAAATCTGTTAATAAGTTAACTAATTAAAATCAGTCTTTACAATAAACTACGATTAAATTAGTTTTGTTTATAAACCATTGAATAGGCTACTACTACGTAAGATTCTAACAAGCCTATGAATAAAATCAATTTCCGTTTAAAACACACGTACTGTCACGGCGAGCGTACTGAGGAGCTGGGACATGGCCGGCAGCAAGCAGCTATTACTCTATTGACGAGAATATCAAGACTAGAGAGGAAAGGAAGAGAGAGAGAGAGATAGGTACAGTGGGAGGTTGCCCCTTTAAGGGGATCCTCTGGTCAGATCCTTCCCCTATTGGGAGGTATCCACTTGTCATGTGGGAAGGTCTGTGCAGGCCGCCACAGCCGTCACACGTACAGACTTATTACAACTTTTTAAAAACAAAAACCCTTTATTAAAACGAAAACATAAGAAATAATACGTTAAGCATCATTATAATATGAATATATTGGTGACATGATATATACGTTATTGAAACTAGTTTATTGCGTTAATAAGTGCCGTTAAAACGTAGTTTTAATATTGATAAATATAAATATATATATATAACACGATGTATAATTGTTTAAATAATAAATGTAATTACCTTGTAAATAATCATTGTTATAAAGTGAGAATAGAACTCTTTAATTATTTTAATACCTTCAAATACAATTATTACCGACATTATCGATAGCTCCATATTTATCGTTTTCATAAAGTAATTCAAACCCTGGATTAAGTTAAACTTTGAAGCAATTTAATAACGTAACTTTTATTTTTATTTAAACGAAAAAGAAAAGAAATCATATCAGAAATCTCTGAATTAATATAACAAAATCTATATTTAAATCCGTTAATAAAAACATATGAATGAGTTTTAACATCTTTTAAACAGCCTTTCAAAGCTTTAATTGATGCTTAAACGCTTTATTACGATAAGTATTTAAAAAGTACGAAATTTTAATTCTAACTTACGTACTAAATTTGAATATTATATTATGGTAGGAAATTTTTTTTTAAATAATAACAATAATATTAAAGTACGTGTTTAAATGTATAATGTCCAATCAAATGTATATCGCTGGCTTTTATCAATTGAATATAAATCACATTAAGAAACCCGATTCTAAACAATATAACACTTCTATTTTGATAAAGATTTGAGTTTTGAAGTTATTTAAAAACCCCGAAGAGTTTAAGTACTTCTTCCTGACCCAATATACAAAAATTGATTAACAACATTATGATATATTGAACAAATTAAATATTATTTAATCAATTTTACGCTAAAACAATACCGTCATTAGCCTCTTCCTTTTATTCATATTTATTTGCTTATTAAATACCTTCTTTAACCCGTATGGCCTAAATTCGCACGTATTATACACGACTTTTGTAATTATTTTTCAAGTTCATATAAAATTTAAAGCATTATGTTTATACAAAATCATACGAATTTTTAAAACGGAAATGACATCTCGAATTAACTTTAAATCTCTAAAATAGTAGTAAGTTTCGACTTAAGTTTCATCTATATAAATATTAATTATATAGGATATTTTAACTATTTTGATAGCATTATGAAACCAAATGGATCTTTTTATAAAAGATTTACTAATACTAACTACCGAATCAGTAATCGTTTCTTACATAATGTAATTTAAATGCATAAGCTTTATAATAAGTAACCGTTGATCATTATTATTAATTTAGCCTTAATCCTTTCTTTTCACATTAAGGAATTAAAGAATTAGGACTTCAGGGAACTGAATCTTTTCTTCCCGTTCCTTGACGAAGAACATCTTTATGAAACTCAGCCAAGCCGGTACATCAGCCACTTGGTCGGGCACGAAGGACCGGGAAGCATTATGGCCTATATCAAATTGAAAGGTTGGGCAGATTCCCTAAGTGCTGGCGCATATCACATTTGCCCAGGGACGCCAGGTATCTTTGACGTTCAGGTCCGGCTGACAAAAGAGGCAAGTCGTTGAAACCGCAGCGGGCTTCTGCTCGCTAACACCGTATATAGGGCCTCAAAAACTACCAGGAAGTGGTCAAAGTCTTCTTCCAATACGTTTCGCTACACACTATTACCAAAAACAACTATTTTTCTTGGCGCCCCGCTGTTAGGGCGCAACCTCTATATCTGCACTAAAACAGGCATTTATTTCAGTACCTGACTATCCTTGCCAAGGCGCAGAAAAATTTTCTCACAAGCTGGATGGCACCCCTTCACGATAGGCCCCCAAATACGCCAGTGGCCGTCCCAAAGACGACTAATGGCGGCGTGCTCAAATCCC